TTATTTTTAGACTTTAATTTTAATTTTATTTATTTATTTTTATTATTATTTTTTTTTTTTAAGATTTTATTTGTTTGATAGAGACACAGTGAGAGAGGGAGCACAAGCAGGTTGGGTAAGAGAGGGAGAAGCAGGCTTCCTGCTGAGCAAGGAGCCCTGTGGTGAGGCTTGATCCCAGGATGCCAGGATCATGGCCCAAGCCAAAGCAGATACTTAATGACTGAGCCACCCAGGCACCCCTAGACTTTAATTTCTTTTTTTTTTTTGGTAAGATTTTATTTATCTGTTTGACAGAGCGCACAAGTAAGCAGAGCAGCAGGCAGAGGGAGAGAGAGAAGAGGCTCTCTGCTGAGCAGGGAGCACTATGAGGGGCTTAATCCCAGGACCCTGAGATCATGACCTGAGCTGAAGGCAGCCGCTTAATTAACTGAGCCCCCCAGGCGCCTCAGACTTTAATTTTTAATGGCAGTTTTAAAGCCATAGTGAGATTTACATGGTAAAACGACATTTAAGATTTGGGGTTTTTTTTTAAGTTGCTTTTATAATATTTCATTGAGATAATTTTAGTAGTTTAATTAGTGGGATACCTTTCCAAGGTGAAATTTTCAAGGTGAATTCTAATTTTCTCTAGAAAAGGATTAACTTTGCTGTTCTCAGGTAGACCTGACATGTGAATGTGTTTTTCTAACATAACTTTTTAATATTCAGGAGCACAAGAAACATCTTTTATAAGCTGTAGGAAAATATGTAACATTTTTCAAGTTCCATCATCATTAGGTAGTGAGGTCTTCAGGAGTTTTATTTTATGATTACCCACAAACTAACATGTCTATGAGCATCTTGTGTGACCTTGTAAACACAAGATACTAAGATTTTTCGGTACCACTTAGAGTCACTATTAAAAAGTTTCCAAAAGAGGCCGGCTTAACTGTAGTCTCAAACTCCTCAAAGATGAGGAGTTTAAAGGAGTTTAAAACTTTAAAGAAGTTTTAGATTTATTCAGAACTCTCTTGCCTGAATGCTGAGATCTTTGTCCTCTAATCCTACCTGTTTGACATATTAAAGCTACCTTTAGGAAAATGACTTAGCTCAGTCTGCTGGATAGGTCAGAAAACATGTATTTAGCTTTGAAAACAAGACTAAGTATAATAATGTCAGAATTAAGGACATGATAGTTGTTTTACCAACAAACTATATAAAACATAGGTAAATATCCTTGCCTCCTTCACTTTGTATATGGCTGAAGATACCAGTCAGAATGTTTTACTGGTATAACCTCCAGTTCTACCCTCTTTTCCCTAACAAGGTAACTATTAGGTCTGTTGATTTGCCCTTGAGTCTCAAAAGGAAGAGTATTTTTCTTTTTTAGTTTTTAAGGAAACTTTCTTCATCTTTGCTTCTTGTTTTGTCTTCTCCCTTTCCCTCTAAGATCTTGATTCTATAATTTACCATGTCCCTGACCTCCGGCCTCTTACTTTCTTTATTTCCCAGATTATGAGCATACTTAAGTATTTTTATCATTGATGGAGTTACCTCTTTGATCCTGCAATCCATTCTGACTACTCCTTTGTTCTCCTTTTTTTGCAGTAAACTTCTTAAAGGATTTTTTTAAAGATACTAATTATTTATTCGATAGAGCACATGCAGGGGGAGCAAAGGCAGAGGGAGAGGGTGAAGCAGGCTTCCCAGTGAGCAGGGAGACCAACATGGCGCTAGATCTCAGGACCCTGGGATCATGACCTGAACTGAAGGTAGATTCTGTTTTCTTTTTTTTTTTTTTTTTTTTAAGATTTTATTTATTTATTTGACAGAGATCGCAAGTAGGCAGAGAGGCAGGCAGAGAGAGAGAGGGTAGCAGGCTCCCTGCTGAGCAGAGAGCCTGATGCAGGGCTCGATCCTAGGACCCCAAGATCATGACCTGAGCCAAAGGCAGAGGCCCAGCCCACTGAGGCACCCAGGCGCCTCTGAAGGTAGATTTTTAACCGAATGAGCCATGCAGGCGTGCTGCATTAAACTTTGTAAAGATATTAACATCCATGTTCCATAGAATCCACAACCTACTTGAGTCTGACTCTATATAGCATTCACTAAAATATTTTAACCAAGAGTATGAGTGACCTCCAGGTTAGTACGAGCCACTGCAGATGTTCCTCCTTCACTTTGTACTTGTCTTAGGATTTTCTATATTTGTAAGATTTTAGGATGCTGTTTGAAAGCATTTTTGTGCACATGATATATTGGCATGGGGTGATCTTGATTTCTAAGTAAGAAACTAAGATAAAGTGTTAGTGTATTTTTACTTTTCAGTGTTGGCTTTTGAAAGACTAAATTCATCTTAATATTCTATGTAAGAATATTCTTTGTTATTCTGTGAAAGAATTTTGACTAGGCAAATGGAATTTTTGAATCTTTTAAAAAATTTGATGGGGAATTTATAGAACTCTTTCAAAGATGTCAAAATCTAACTTCTATCTTTATAAGTCACTGTTAAGATTACAGATAGGTCTGCCTAGCTGGCTTAGTCTTAGTAGAGTATATGATCCTTGGTCTTAGGGTAATTGGTTTAAACCCACTGCATAGAATTTACTTTAAAAAAAAAAAGAATTTTTCATGTAAAATTTAAGTGATCATAACTATCACCACAGCCTTAGGTGAATTGTGCTTGAGTCATGTTTATAGATGCTAATAGAAACCATCTAGCTATTATACCATATATTGACTTTTACAAAAATAAACATTGCCTCTAAGAAATGTCATTGAATACATTCTGAAAACTTCAGATATTCATTAAGGTTACTTTATGACTCATGGATTTCTTTTGAATTCTGACTAGAATCACTGGATTTACTTGTTGTGGTATCTTACCCTAAACGTTCAACTTTTCTAAACTGCAGTTTGCTCTATTTTAAAATGTTAGTGATGTTTTTAACACCTCCTTTACGACTTAGTATAAGTATTTTGCAGTGTGTATATTAATAAATGCTAGCTATCTTATTAGTGCACTTTTTTTTTTTTTTTTTTTTTTTTTTTTTTTTTTTTTTTAAAGATTTTTATTTATTTATTTGACAGAGATCACAAGTAGGCAGAGAGGCAGGCAGAGAGAAGGGGCGGGAAGCAGGCTCGCAGCTGAGCAGAGAGCCCAATGTGGGACTTGATCCAAAGACCCTGGGATCATGACCTGAGCCAAAGGCAGAGGCTTTAACGTACTGAGCCACTGAGGCACCCCTTATTTTATCACTTTATCTTTTTTTAAAGTTTTTTTAAAGTTTTTATTTAAATTCCCGTTAGGTAACACAGTATAATATTAGTTTCAGATGTACAGTGTGGTGATTCTGAACTTACATACATGGAGTCCTTGATACCCATCACCCGTTTCTGTTACCCCTACACCTGTTAGATTATAAACTTTAAGTCCATAACTTTTTCATATTTTTACTTCCAGTACTTAGCTAGCCCAGAGTCTCATTACTCTATGATGCATTGCTGAATTGAGTAAAACATTAATGTCCAACCATAAAGATAAAATTCATGTATTTTTATCACATCTAGCAGGGGAACACCAGAAAGGTAACTAAAAGGGAAATGAGGGATGCCTGGGTGGCTCAGTGGGTTAAGCCGCTGCCTTCGGCTCAGGTCATGATCCTAGGGTCCTGGGATCGAGTCCCATATCGGGCTCCTTGCTCAGCAGGGAGCCTGTCTCTCTCTCCGCCTCTGCCTGCCTCTCTGCCTGCTTGTGTGCTTTCTCTCTCTCTCTTTCTGACAAATAAATAAAATATCTTAAAAAAAATAAAATAAAAATAAAAGGGAAATGAGAAGATTTGCTAGGTAAATGGAAGACAAATTTTTTTTTTCTGGGCTTTGGTTTCTTCTCTGCTTTGTCTTCAGTTACAGCAGCCAGGCCAGTTTTATCTAGAGCAGAGAGAATATTTCTGTGCTTTTTCTGTAATATATTCAACATCAATAAATCCAACTTTGTGAGAAGTTAGATCATATTGGCCAAGTTTTCATTCATTAGTCTTTTCCTCACTTTCATCTGTGCCAGAGATATCATTGGATGGCCATTGTGGGTAGCAGTGGATAAAAGATTACATTTCATAGGAATTATGCTTTTGGTATTTATTCCAATCCAAGTCTGCTTCTTTGGGACATTCTTTTTTGGTTTCCCAATACTAAGCATAATACTGTATTTCATTAGCCTCTTTTATAAAGATTAAATTATGAAATGTTAAAAAAAAATTATGAAATGTTTGTTCTGTATCCCCTGAATCTCCACTGTCATGAGCCATGTGTGTCTATATTGGTATCTTTTTTTTTTTTTTGTCAAAAACATAATAAAGGCTACGTTCATTAAGTTATTTGAGAATACTGTATATTTAAGTATACATTTGCTGCATTTGCCAGCAATGACCCAGACTCAGTTTTATGAACTCAAGTGTGTGCCTCATTCAAGTATATACCATGTTTGTGTTTGTGTGCAGCTTTAACTTTAAATATTTTGATAGTAGAATTTACATTGACCATTGCAGTATATGTTTCTGAAAATTGTATTTTGATTAAAAAAAAAATTCTACTAAGAGACAGATAAGACCACATAATGGTCAAAACACTAATAAGACAGTGCTAAGAAAATGTATTAAGACCAGGATTTGGATATTTTATTGTAGGACATTCTTCCCAAGATCTTTAACAATATAATAATCCTTTCATCTTATGGTTAATAGTGTATGCAAAGATATAGAATATAATCTCATTACTTTTGTTAGTTTTTAAGGCTACCATGAATTTGCTTTAAGTAAAATATTTTTTACCTGAATATCTCATCCCACTTTTAGAATATTTGCAAAATGTATTTGTTGAATTTCCTACTTTTTAAGATATGAAATCATTCAATTTTATATGAGTCAAATTAGAGATTGTATTTGTAAAACACTTTTCAAAAAGGTAGTATTTTATTTAAGTGTCTGTTACTGTTATTTATGATGTATTTCTTCGCTTTTCAGTGGATGATGCTGGCAAAATAGAACACGGTGGCTCCTCTGGAATGACCATGAACACAGAGTCAGAAATAGATCCTTGTAAGGTGGATGGCACTTGCCCTGAAGTAATCAAGGTGTATATTTTTAAAGCTGACCCTGGAGAGGATGACTTAGGTAAGAGGAAAGCTTCAGGATATTATTCATCCTGATCAGCCACTTGAACCTGATTTCTTTTGGGTGGTTTAGATTGAGAACATTTGAAATATTTTCTGAAGATAACTTAAAAAAAATTTTTTTTGAAGATTTTATTTGAGAGAGAGAGCACAAGCAGCCTGGAGGGTGGGTTAGGGAAGGGCAGAGGGAGAGGCATGCTTCCCACTGAGCAGGGAGCCCAAGGCAGTACTTGATCCCAGTACCTTGGGATCATGACCTGAGCTGAAGGCAGATGCTTAACTGACTGAGCTACCCAGGCGTCACTGAAGATGACTTTTAAACAAGGATTTCCATGTAGCAGTATAAAAGTATATTAAATATAATAAGTGAAACAGGTGGAAATGATGTTTTCAGATAAATTCTTGGAGCTGTCATCTTCCCTGATAGGTGGCACTGTAGACATTGTGGAGAGTGAGCCTGAGAATGACCATGGAGTTGAATTACTTGACCAGAATAGCAGTATTCGAGTACCAAGAGAAAAGATGGTTTATATGACTGTCAACGACTCTCAGCAAGAAGATGAAGATTTAAGTAGGTGCCCTTTTTGTGGGAGAAAATTCTGTTTCTGTATACAGTTAATTTTTTTAAATACAACTAATTGAAGAAAGTAAACAGTACTATTGTAGATACTATTGTACTGTCATATACCAAAGAGGAACATTAGTGACTCTTAATGTATGCTTAGGATGTTACTTTAAAAACAGTGGTGAAAGTCAAGAAAGGAATGGTTCACTCAACAAATATATATGGAGTATTTACTGTGTGAAAATAATTTAATAGGTATGTAACATTTGAAATTTCTGTTTCTTTGTCTGAATTCATGCAAGCATTTTTTCTGTCTGGTCTCTATAAACCTGGTCTTAAAGAATTCTACTGATTTTCTAATTAGATGTTGCTGAAATTGCTGATGAAGTTTATATGGAAGTTATAGTAGGAGAGGAGGATGCTGCAGTGGCAGCAGCTGCAGCAGCTGCTGTGCATGAACAACAAATGGACGACAATGAAATTAAAACCTTCATGCCAATAGCATGGGCAGCGGCTTATGGTAAGTCACATACATAGTGGCTCAAAGGATTGCATGGTTCTGGAACAAGAATTCATTATTGAAAATGATTTCTATAGCTTCAGATTTCAGACATAGGAAGTACCAGTATAGTGGCGTAAAGATGTAAAGGATGATTATTTATAGTCTGCCTTTTGCCTTAATTTTAGTAGGAATTTTCTTTGCCTATATTATGTAAGAGATAAATAGAAATTTTTTATCTTGAATATATCTGGATCATGACTTTACCATTTGAGTGTCACCGTGGGACTTTGTGGTGCAAAATGCTGTTAAATTTGGAAGCTGGGCTTTTTCTGTTGTCTAGTACATAAATTTACCCTTAAAGCTCACTACCTGGATGGGGAATTTGTCATTCATGAGTATCATGGCATTTTGTTGTTCTAGTTAATAAAGAATCCGTAATTCTTTATAAGAACACTGTGTAATTTTGTTTCTTAATACATGTTGTTAGGTAATAATTCTGATGGCATTGAAAACCGGAATGGCACTGCAAGTGCCCTCTTGCACATAGATGAGTCTGCTGGGCTCAGCAGACTGGCTAAACAAAAACCAAAGAAAAGGAGAAGACCTGATTCCAGGCAGTACCAAACTGGTAAGGGTGCACAAGTTCCACAGTGCAGTGTGCTGTGCAAGCTCTGAGATTAAACCAGTATGTACCCATAGAGGTATTAATGATAACAATTTAGCTGCTAGATCATATGTAGCTTTTGTGTATTGAAATGAAAAATAATTTTAAGAATTCAGTAATATTCATGAATGATTTCCTGGAATAAAAAGAAATGGGTTTTGAGTCAGACATTTAGGACAGTAAAATCTGAGGATATTTTATGGAAATAAAATTGCTAAAATTACATTATTTAACTCTAATGAACAAATTTAAATATTTTGTCAGCATGAAGCAGGCATTTACTGAGGAGCAAGACAAATACTTCTGTTGTCCATTAAATAATTCCTTTCCAGTATAATCTTGTATACTATTTTGCATATTACAGTTTTTTAGTAAGTGGTTAAACTTTAAGTTACCATAAATTTGGCTTGTAGTAATAAAACTGAAAGGTGAACTTTGTTTTTATGAATCATGTTTTATAGATATCCAAATACATGTGGCTTTAAATGTCTATTTATTTATTTATTTGACAGAGAGAGACACAGTGACAGAGGAAGCACAAGCAGGGGGAGTGGGAGAGGGAAAAGCAGGCTTCCTGGTGAGCAGGGAGCCCAATGCAGGACTCTTCTCCCAGGACCCTGGAATCATGACGGAAGCCAAAGTCAGAGGCTTAACGACTGAGCCACCCAGGCACCCCCGTCTGTTCATTTTAGATTGGGAGTGTTATGGGTGGTTACATTGAATGAAGTTTCTGGACAAGATTCTGTTCATCACTGGGTTTTGCTATTATCTCTTTCACTGAAGAACAGTGAAAAGAATGTTAACTTGAGGAGTATTTGTCTGATAATATTCAGAATATGCACTTTTAAGTGGTTGAAGAAAACAGAATGGAACTTGGCTCGATCACTCATGGTCTTTTCTTTTCCTTTTGTAGCAATAATTATTGGCCCTGATGGACATCCCTTGACTGTCTACCCTTGCGTGATTTGTGGGAAAAAATTTAAGTCGAGAGGTTTTTTGAAAAGGCACATGAAAAACCATCCTGAACACCTTACCAAGAAAAAGTACCGCTGTACTGACTGTGAGTACACTACCAATAAGAAGATAAGTTTACACAACCACCTGGAGAGCCACAAGCTGACCAGCAAGGCAGAGAAGGCCATCGAATGTGATGAGTGTGGGAAGCATTTCTCTCATTCTGGGGCTTTGTTTACTCACAAAATGGTGCATAAGGAGAAAGGAGCCAACAAAATGCACAAGTGTAAATTCTGTGAATATGAGACAGCTGAACAAGGGTTGTTGAATCGCCACCTTTTGGCGGTCCACAGCAAGAACTTTCCTCATATTTGTGTGGAGTGTGGGAAAGGTTTCCGTCACCCGTCAGAGCTCAAAAAGCACATGCGCATCCATACCGGGGAGAAGCCGTACCAGTGCCAGTACTGCGAGTATAGGTCCGCAGACTCTTCTAACTTGAAAACACATGTAAAAACGAAGCATAGTAAAGAGATGCCATTCAAGTGTGACATCTGCCTTCTGACTTTCTCAGATACCAAAGAGGTGCAGCAACATGCTCTTATCCACCAAGAAAGCAAAACACACCAGTGTTTGCACTGTGACCACAAAAGCTCGAACTCAAGCGATTTGAAACGACACATAATTTCGGTTCACACGAAGGACTACCCCCATAAGTGTGACATGTGTGATAAAGGCTTTCACAGGCCTTCTGAACTCAAGAAACACGTGGCTGCCCACAAGGGTAAAAAAATGCACCAGTGTAGACATTGTGACTTTAAGATTGCAGATCCATTTGTCCTAAGTCGCCATATTCTCTCAGTTCACACAAAAGATCTTCCGTTTAGGTGTAAGAGATGTAGAAAGGGATTTCGGCAACAGAATGAGCTTAAAAAGCATATGAAGACACACAGTGGCAGGAAAGTGTACCAGTGTGAGTACTGTGAGTATAGCACTACAGACGCCTCAGGCTTTAAACGGCATGTCATCTCCATCCACACGAAAGACTATCCTCACCGGTGCGAGTACTGCAAGAAAGGCTTCCGCAGACCTTCTGAAAAGAACCAGCACATAATGCGACATCATAAAGAAGTGGGCCTGCCCTAATGATGCCACTACGGACATTTGTGGAGATGTTGGCCTTGAAGCAGGAATTTCATTTTAAAGCCAGGCTCATTCACATGCAATACTGTATATCGATTTATGCTGTGTACAAATAGAATTACTGCTTCTAGTCAACTTTTCTTTACATTTTACTTAATAGAGTGTTCTGGATCCTATTCAGTTCGTTCAGTGGCAAAAAGTAGCAACAGTCAAATTGCTTTTAAAAAGGAATCCCTGATTCTGTACTGAATTTTTCAGTCTTAGAAGTTTTACTATTTATTTAAGTATTCACTTTATATACATTGATGGTACTTCTAAGACCACTTAAAGATAAAAAAGAAACAACATAGGATTGGCAACTCTAAAAGTATTTACTTTGAGTCATTTTTCCCTCATAAATCTTTCATATTAAATAGGAACATCTGCTAATGGTAAACAGATTTTACTGTTGGGTCTAATCATTATATGAAAGTAATTTTCTTATCTTGCTTAATATTTTCAGACTGTGTGACAATGACACTTTTTTCCATTTGAGTCTCTAGTATTGCTAAATGCAGAACATTGCTGTTCTGTTTAATTTTCATTTTATTCAACAGACAAAATAAGCTTTATTGTGACTTTCCGTGTAGTACATCTTTTGTCAGCATAGCACACTTTTAGAAAGTTACTGAAAGGTTTTGCTTATTCCTGTTTGTTGTTTTTCTGTCCATGTAGTTTTGTTTAGGAATACTTGCGTTCAACAGATGAGACTTAACTGTGAATTGAGTTTTGGAATATTAGAGTTAAATGGTGGCTCATAGGCTGCTTTGCAACTGGATCTGTAAGTCTACCCCAGGTTTTATATGTGCCTGTGTGTTACTTGTTTTACATATTTACACACACAATCCCAAATTTAAGTCTATAATGAAAAGTATTAACTGTACAACAAAATGAAAGATCCAGAGATATATGAAAGAACATTTTGCAAACTTAGTATTCATAAGGATTAAGTTAAACGTGAGGGGAAAATTAGAATATAAGGATAGTGTATTTTTAAAGAGCGAAGGTATTTTCCTTAAATATCTTTAGGAGTTGGAAAAGACAAGGTATTTCTAGATAGAATATTTTTATATAAAATTTTAGCTTCATACCTTAAATTTTTTGGAAAAGCTAGTGAATATCTAACCATAAATCTATCAGTAGTCACTGCGAAGCATGAAAAGGAAATGTCTTCTCACAAAGTAAAGATTAGGATTAAAAAGACAAATGGCTGCAGAGGATGGGTGCTAATTAAAATTGGCACATTTAGCCCATTTTTTAATTTCTTAGCAGATTTGAAGATTAAACATTTAAGTTAGATTTGATTAGAAGATAAGTTTAAAGTACATTATGAAAACGTGAGACTTCATTTGGAATATTACCAAGTCTTTGAGTTGTTTTTTTTTTTTCCCCAGAGTTGGCATATTTTAAGCAGTGAGTCATAAATAGATATAAAATGAATTTAAACAGTTAATTAGAATTTGGTTTGTGTTATATGAATTTTCAAAAATATAGGAAACACTTTTTGTTTACTTAAATTGGGTATTGGCACATACATACTGGCACATTATTCAAGAATAGAAATTTCTCTTCCCACTTGATAGCTAGCTCCCTTGCAACTTCATTGTGGTGCTGCCTTCTACTCTTACTATAAAGTTTTTGTCTTCTGCCTTTTCTCTGTGCCACTAATATTCATATTCAGAAGTTGTATTTATAGGGTTAGGAATCTAAATATTGGGAGTTTTGAAGTTTGGATTAATTTAATCTTTTTATATCAAGTGCTTTAGGCACATAAGAACTTAAATCTAATGCCAGCCAAGCAACAGGATGGATTTGGAACCTCTTTAAGCCTTTTTTACTCCCATATATGTTTTACCCATTTTTAGTATCCATTGTCCTGTTCTTAAAACTCTTTTTTGTGTGTGATAATTTTTTCAGTTTTTCTTCCATTTGGTTTTTCCTTGGAGTAATACAAAAGGAAATGTTTAAATAAAATTTTACATTTAAGAATTTTAAAACATTCTTTAAAATTAATCCAGATAAATAGCTATTTAATTATATTTAAAAAACTGAAAGATAAAGAACACAACACTTAAATACTTTGTATTTCTCTCATAGTCTGGAGTCTTACACAATTGTTTTGTTTTTTAAGCACAATGTTGAAACCTTTAAAAGGTAATTACTAGGATTTGGTCAAGTGAATATGATAAAACATTTGTTTTTATAAAGAAAATATGAAATTGTACTTACTGCTATGTACTGATATTAGTTGCAAGCTGTTTTGGTTCTTTAAAAAATTTTGATTAGCAAAGCTAATAAGTTTGGATGTTTCAGTTTAATGTTTTAAAGAGGTACAGATTTTTACAAGAATTTAAGTTATTGTTTTGTTGAAATAGCCTATTAAATATTATATATCTCTTCCTCTGTACACATTGTAAAATACTTAAAATACTTGATAAGAAATTCATATAGGAAGGTGTGACACTATTGTAAATGTGTACTTGAGAATAACATGCAAAAATAAAAATCAATATTTTCTTGTTAATTGGTGTTTAGTCTATTTGATATTAGTATTAAGGTAAACACTTTTTCATAAAAAATGTGGTTTTGTTAAATTTAATAAACATAAAGCTGTACTATTTTCAGTTCTGCAATTCTTAAAATGGAATGCAAAATGCATAATTGCATTTGATTTTGTGACTTGGATGCAGATGTTAAACCTATGAGTTTACAAGTAATATTTTAGAATTGTAAAGAGCAAGTTGGTGAGTTTTTTGATCAGTATATATTCATGAAACTCATTTTTTTTCTTTTACTTCCATAAAAAATTTTGTTATTTTACCATCTTCATTTCTCGAGGTCTTAGAAAATCCATACATGAAGTGATGTTTAGAGCATTAAAGTTCATTTTAGTATAACTTCATAGCAGTTAGTGAAGATTATTACTATTATATCCACAGAAAAAGATCTGCTGTACATTTGTTTTTTGTGCCTAGTTTGGAGGGCTGTAGTGGACACTGACACATTTTTTAGTTGGGTTATTGTCATAGTAAAAATCTGAAGCTGTATAAAAGTTATGAGTTACTTGGCACTGCTGTAATAAAATATCACAGACTGGGTGGCTTATGAATAATAGAAATTTATTTCTTAGAGCTCTGGAGGCTGGAACAAAATCAGGACGCAGACAGATTCAGTGTCTGGTGATGGTCCATTTCCTAATTGAGAGATGGCTCTGTTTCTTCATTTTTATGGTAGAAGGAGCAAAAGATTTCTTCAAGATCTCTTTTGTCTCAGAGGCCTCCCCCTCCTAATACCATCACATTGGGATTACATTTCAACATAAGAATTTTAGGGGGGACTAAACATTCAGTCTACAGTAGAAATTTTTTTAAAAGATCACATTTTTTTGTGACATAAAACAGTTTTTATTGACATAAAATGCACAGAACGTGTTAAAGTGTACAGTTAGTTGTCTTTAGTACACTGACATTGTTGTGCAACAATAACTTGTTAGTTTCCAGAATATCTTTGATTTTAAAGATTCTTCAGTCCTTTAACAGAGAAATGTGTGTTTGCTTGATAGTTCAAAAAGTAAAAATCAGAGTTAACTATTAAAGGGAATATAAATGTCACTGGCCAGAGTTATAACTAAGACAAGACCACAGCAACTAAATAGCTATGCTAGAACACAGCAAAAACAGCTAACCAGGCCTGTGCCCCCAGCTAGTCCAATAATTTATTGCCCTATTCTTTGGAATCACAATTTTATAATTTCCTCTATT